CTGCAAATTTGAAAGCATTTTAATGAAGTCTACATTTCATCTTTGATTCTATACGTTTCCCTTGGCTTTTGATTTGTGTTCAATATTTTACTGGTGTCCATTTCCCATAACAAATTCTCCTTTGTGTCCTGCACAAAATCTCCTCAAGAACGGCATTAGAATCCTATTAACTAGCCGCCGCAAATTCAAATATTTTTTTCATTTTCCTGGCAAAAGGACGACAAGCTAGATATTCCTCAGAAAATTAAGCCGAGCGAGGGTAGGCAGCGGATGGGACATTTGTTTGAGGGAATCAATTAGTCACAATGGCCCTCGGACAGGACGCAGGACAATGTCCCTCGACGGCGACGGCTACACTTTTTGCACAAGCTGGGACCTCTGTTGATATTTCGGGGACATAAGGGCGTTAATTATCGGGCAGACGTTTAATGAATGCACCCGGGGCGAAGCGGAGCTCACGTAATTTAAATTTGCTTAAGGAGATTGCGTGTGTTTTTATGACTCCTGCCCGCTGGCTAGTCGCTTAGTTAGAGGAAGCCGCTGAAATATTTCCACACCCCCATTCCCATTCCCAACGTCCACTTTAGTTTCCGCTTCCTGTTGCATCCTTCGGGCAATTAGCGATGACACACAGGAAGTGTCGTAGGGACTCCGGATAGACCATAATTCTCGGACTTACACGAATCTTGGATTTAATTTGGCAGTTCCTTGAAGATATACATCTGTTTGGTGTAGGGGAAAAATAAGAGGGAGCGATCCTCTCGAATGAAGCAATTTAATATGGTCATAAAGTGCGATTTTGGTATGCCGATCGAATGATTTTATATATAACTTTTCAGGCAGCTGCCTTCTGGTCCACCAAAAGCCATTATAAAATCGTTTATGGACCCTGGACAATTGATTGATATATGGTTTACTTGGGGATGGATCGATCTATACTCAAATGTCTCATTTATCCAAGGGGCAGTTACAAGGATTTTCACACATCTGCCTGGCTTCGAAAGTATTAGCTTTCACTCGCTTTCATTAGCATATGAATATGGCAAAAGGGTTGGGAAAGTATCAAATAACCTGGCTTCCAATTAAACAGACTTTACTTAATTGCCAAAGAACACCACAAAAGATAGTTTTGCCTTAAAGATGCTAAACATAAAGTCCTTGATTGATGCCCTGTCAGCGAAGACAAGGAAAAAATGTTACAAAAAAACGTATTAAAAACGTAGAAAATTGTAAGGAAAAGCCTTGGAATCCTTGTCAAAACTAAGTTTTCCAAGCAACCACTTTTTTTGATGTGTGAAAACTCTGTCACAGCTGCCGAGGAAAAACTCTCTGCTGCCCGTATGCAAATCAGTTTAACTGTCGCTTCATATTGTCCTTGTCGTCCTTGGAGTTGCAATTTGAGTAAGCGAGTGACATAATTCCTGGCAGCGTGACCAACTTTGATTGATCTGCCAAGATCATCGGGCGAAAGCAACGTCCAAATGCGACAGGCATGGCGAATTCGAATTCGAAAACTGGTACAGGATCCTCGCTTTCTCCTTTTGTCCTGCCTGCAAAAGTGTCAGAATTTCCAAGATCCTTGCGATTGATCACGCAAGTCCTTAACATGATGTAGAGCGTTGCTCTTTGCATAATTTAGTTCTTTTGGGTTTACAAGAGTCTTACAAGGGGATTTAGTGGGAAAGTTATGGGAAAGTTTTTTAAAGATAGAGAGAGCTGTCTGTAAGGGAATCTTTAAAGAAGAGATATTATTATTTAAGGAATTTTAAGGGAAAGAAAATTAGGAAAGGAAACATTTAAGTTTTCATTTCGTTCTATGAAGAAGTACCTCTTGAAATCCTTTCTTATTATAGAGATATCATGACTTATAGAGCTCCCAAAAATTACCTCATTAAACCCTCTCTAGGTAAACAAATTACCCTAATAGTAGATTAACTTTTCTTACATTCTCATTTAAAGAACCCCCCTATAATCTCCACAAAATAGGTCATAAACCTTCCTACCCAAAGGACCTTTTCACCCGCTTTCTCCAGAGAAATGACCCAGAAATAACCATCGAAGCTGATCAGAGGATTATGCAAACAAATGTCATTAGTCAATGGTCCCATATTTGAACTCTGACCACAGACTGGCGTTAAGTGGACAAAATGCCAGCAGAAAATGTTGAAAAAATCACGGCAATTTCTCAGGGAAAAACCGCAAGTTGAGACAACCCCTGAGGCAGGAGAAAGGAGCAGCAGCAGCATCCACCGCATCTCTCAAGGGGAAAAATAGTGAAAGGTGAAAATCCGATACCTGGCTGTTAAGATGATGAGGATCTTTGGGTTTACTTTTACCTAAAGGAAAATATATTTCGCAAGTTGCCAACGCTTACCCAAAAATGGCATAAACAATCTCATTGTGCGCACTCGAGCCAAATGATGTGTGAGATATCAATTGTCACATCGACAATGGAAATTGACAGATCGGTATCTGTGCCGTTGGTCCCGTAATAAAATTAGAAGTTTATTGATTTGTCTTGACACTTTCGCAGAGGAAATGCGCCCCGAGGATGCGAGGATGAGAATGGAAACTCACATTTTCTGGGACAGATTGATGTCTGCTCTGCTTGGCGCATTATCAATGGGAGTGGCAGTCTTTACCCCTTGCTGATTTCCACGACTCCTGTTCCTCCCATTGCCCTACAAAAATTATATGCAATTAAATACAAAGAATTTTTTCCGTTGGCTACTCGTAAAATATTCAACTTTATGGGCCCAGTAAATATTTTGATGGTCGCAAAAACTCGCAAAAAGAATCCAAAAATTAATTTCCCAGAGCTTCCTCTGAATTTTCGCTGACACTGGACAATTGCTTAATGTTCGAATACTGACGGGACTTACAAATGAATCAAGACTTCCTGCTGACCACGCCCAAATGCTGTGCGCCTTTCCATTTTCCAAAACTGACTTCATTAAGACCTTGATGAGTTGCATTTCCTTGACAAAAACTCTTTCATGTTTGTACTAATTATTATTAATGCATTTTCAAATTTTTTTTTTTTTTTTTTTAAAAATGCTTTATTTAGTGAGCTGAATTTTATTATTGTACAATTACTGTAGTATAGCAACTTTTTTTTACAATAGTGAGGGGAGAAGTTCAATGGAAAATGGAAGGAAGGTCCGGGGGTGACCATGCTACTTACTACCGGGACTCGAACCCGGACCGGCAGTGCTACGGGTTCCAGTGTTTGTCGTCTCAACCCTTTGAGCTACCACCGGCGGCAACATTTTCAAATGAAAATCAAAAAGGGAAAATGCTCAATGATTTGAGTATTTGTGAGTTAGCTCAACAAAATGCGGGACACTAGGTTATGGGAATAATATTTGTTCAAGTTTCTGTATAGGAGAGAAGGGTAATGTATTATTTTTCTTTGTAGTTTTTCTTGGTAGAAAAAATCTTCCTTAAATCTTTTTAAATGCTTTAGTATCTCATTTTCATAAGGTTTTATTCCTCTTACTTCTTTTGTGCATAAATCTAATTAGCATGAGCTTTGACAATGACTTGGAGCCACTACCACATCACACATTGTCAAGTCAGGCTCTCGAGGAAATCCGTTTAATTTCCCCCCGAACTCCAAGAGACAGCGACAAATGCTTCCGGTGAAGCAGAAAGGCACTGCTATTAATTTTGGGATATAATAAGGGGTTTAACTAAAGGATATAGTAAGCTAAAGCATCTAACAATAAATTACAACATATTTGACAAATAAACAGGATATTCTTATAAATAATCAATACAGAAAGAAACCCTTAAAAAAATACTATTGACAAGTTATTAGTTTTAAGTAAAGATTACCCTTTAAAAATCCTCTATTCTTCACTAAGTAATTGCAAAATATTACAAGAAATATTTATCAATTCAAAATCTCCATTAAAACCCCTTTTATTCAAGTGTATAATCCCGCTCCTTGAGCTGCTCCTACTTACTTTGTGTGAAAGTGAAATCGACTCAATTGCGGGCGTGTTTCTGTTAGTCTTGCGGTTACCATCGCCTCCTGCTCCTGGTCTTCTTGTGGGTCCTGTGCCCGCACAATTGGTTCAGGTACAAAGTCAGAGATTGCCAAAAGGTGTTGGGAGTGATGCTTCTTATCCGCAGCATTGTGTGCCGGCTGCCTTTGCCTTCGTCCCTCGTCCTTTTGCCGCCCTCGCTTTGCCTGCTTGTGTATGCACAGGTGTCATCCTGGCACGCAGCAGCAGGAACAGGAGCAGGAGCTAAGAAACGGATCCTCTTGAGGGCAGAGCTCGTGCCTTTGTTCGGCCGCATAATGAAAGCAAAACGTTCTGAAATATGAATTGAATCTTGTCGAGTGCATTTAATATACATTACGTCCTCGTCCCCCTACTTGGCACCTTTGCTAATATCCTGCCGCTTCTGGTGCTCCTTTTTCCCAACAAAGTTGCAAGTAGTTTGCCATCTTCCGCTGTTTGCCAAAAAAAGGAAGATATCTGTCTGCGTGTGTCGGTGTGTTTGGGCCATACAATATCCGCTGAAACGTTTAAGTGAGATTAACAAGTGATGACTGATACTGACTGAGGCACAACCCCGGGGCCTGTGTGCTTTCTATTAAATTAAAAGTGGCAGAGAAAATCGAGGAGGTAAGTGAAATGGTGGCACAAAGTGGAAACTTTATTGGTAAGTTAGATTTTCAGTTTAAACAGACGCTATCTCTGGGCCAGAAACAGATTCATCTGGGGAGAACTTAAAGCCAAAGATCTTGGCCTTTTTATTTTGATAAGCATATAAGATGATGAGATCGATTAAAGGTATTAATATATCCTATTTATTTTCTTAAATGATGCTATAATATAGATAATATATATAATACTGCTTAGATCCTTCAGTTGTCTTCCATTTGTGATTGAAACAAGAAGACTTTACTTCCAAAATCTAGGCTTTACTTATTGTATAAGAACTAGTAATAATAACCAAGTTGACATGGAAATATTATATATATTATACATAGTATAACCTGCCATTCTGGCTTCAACTTCAAAACTTGTTCAGTGGAAAAAGATTCATTTCCAAGCCAAAGCAAAAAATTCGGTGTGATTGGATAAGATGAACGAAGAAATACCTGTGGGACAGGTTAGCATCCAGTGCGGTGGTCACATTGACTCCGTGGTGCAGTTATCCTACAGCAGGAACTGTGCATCGGGTTATCACTTGGCCTCGGCAGGACTCGATGGCTTGGCAATGCTGCGTCATGGCGACACTGGGATATGGATTGGCAGTTTCGAAGGACACGAGAATGGTGTGACGGGAGTGTGCCTCAATGATGATGCCACCATTTTGGCCACTTCCAGTTCCGATGAAACTGCACGAATTTGGAATGTGATGACTGGGGTGCAAGTGAAGATGTTTAGGCATCCAGGCCAAGTGACTTGTGTTCGTCTGGACTCGGGATCCACTCACATGGTGAACGGTTCCCGGGGTCAAACTCAATATGTCACCGTTTATGATGTGGAGGCATCGGATCATACACCTTTGGAGACATTTCTGGGCCATACGCGTGGTGTGAGGAATGCAATCTTTTGCCGGAACGACCGTGCCCTGTTCACCACATCCTATGATCGCACGGTGAGAATGTGGGATCGTCAGACTGGTTTGGAGACGAATTCGCTAGAGTTGCCGCATCATGCCAAGTCGCTGGAGCTTCATCCAGATGGCAAGACAATTACCGTGGCATATGGCACTAGCTTGGTCTTTATGGACATTGAAAAATTTGAGGTGTTGCATCATTGCAAGATGGGTTACAAGGTGTCTGGAGCCACTCTGAATCCCCAAAAGGACACCTTCATTTGTGCCAGCAGGAATGGTAATATCTACAAATATGATTATCCCACAGCCGGGCTGCAGGACATCTATAGCCTAAACGGTGTATGCTATGTGACCTATAGTCCGGATGGTAAGATCTGCGCAAGTTCCTCGTCCACCGGACAGATTACCCTTTGGCAGCAGGATTCCCAATGAGTTCTATTAATATGTTTCTAATTGTTAAATTTTATATGTTTTTAATTGTTCATTTATAGATTAGAGTGTTTGCAATTGCTTCTACAGATAAGCTAGTTAGATTGATTATTTTTTACTTGGAAAATAATGTAACGGGAAAATCATTCACTGATTTCGAAAATGATAATTTCCTAAGCACCTCGATTAGTTCTACTCACCGAGGTGGGTTTCAGTAGCTTTAATACTGTTCTGGAAGAATGTTCCTGATCTTGATTTTTAGTATTCTGTTCCTGGTTCAACAGGCAACGCTAGAATTAACCGCCGAGGCAGAAATATGGGTGTGGAATGAGCTGAGGCAACATGATTGTGGAACTGTCTCACCTAAAGTGGAACCTCGTCGGCGCATGTTGGGTGTAGTAGGTGGTCGTAGGGTTCCAGTGATGAGTCGTCCCTCGATGGCACTTCTTTTCCTGGACGATGCAATGGAACACTGTCGCTGCGGAGGCAGTCTCATCACCAAACGTAGATCTCATTAAATAATTGTTAAAGGACTTGTTCTGTGATTTCCTCTGCTTTTCAGGCTTTGTCTTGACTGCTGCTCATTGCCTGGTAATGTGTCCTAGAAGAAATGAGTAAGTACTTTAACTGCTTTAACTAAATTTACTAATGATATTATTTTCCTGAACAGAATAAAGGTGCGGTTGGGTGAGCACACCTTAACAACTTCGCAGGATTGCTCTGTAGTTCGCGGACAAAGGATTTGTGCTCCACCAGTTGAGAATTTTAATGTTGAGAAAATCATACTCCATGAGGAATTCTCATTCTTTAAGCAAATTAATGACATTGCCCTTTTGCAGCTCAGTCAAAATGTGATACCCAACAGTAGGTTTGATATACCAAATTATCGTATACTATATAGTTTTTACTTTACAGTTCATATTCGTCCCATTTGCCTGCCTTTGACACCGGATCTCCTGGTGCATACTTCCATATTGGGGCAGTCCTATATTGCCACTGGCTGGGGATATATGGACCAAGGACAACTATCAGATGCACTCTTGGAAATATCTATCAAAAGCTATCAGTGTCCAAGTAGATATGTCAACCAATCTATATTGTGCTCCAATGGTCACATCCAGGATACCTGCAAGGGCGACTCGGGTGGTCCCTTGTTGTCGAAGACCTCCTTCTTTGGCTCTGATCGTTATGTGCAATTTGGGGTTATAAGCCATGGTAGTTGGACTTGTGGCCAAGGAGCTGGAGCTTACTTCACCAAAGTTCCTCCCTTTATGCCTTGGATAATCAAGAAGATAGCTATTTATTTTATGGAAAATCCTATTGAGCAGCTGCGTGCAATTGAGCGACTTTTGCTGCCCGGTCAACCTGAGTAATCAGTGCTTTATAATATATATTATATATTTTAAAAGAACTTGGTATATATTTTTTTAAGATAATATGTAGATTAAAACATGACCCAAACTTTTAATGAAATAAAATTTTGAACTTAAGCTACGTGAAAATCATATTGCTGTGGTTTAGGTTTATTTTTCTTTTTATTAAAACATCGTAGTTATTTATTTTTAATTTTATTTTGCATTTCTTGGAGCCTCTGTAAGCTGATAAGCATTGCTTGATAAGTTCTCAGTCGGTTTTGATTTGTGCTTGCATCATGAACCGTTTGCTCTTCATTTTTGCGGGATTTTTTCTTTGTCAAATAGAACTGATTCAAGCCAAAGTCCCAGCATTAACTCCTAGTGAAAATATTATTTACCAGAAACTAAAAAAACAGGATTGCGGAGCATTATCAAATGCTATTCCAGTTCAAAGACTACGTCACAGGGTCACAAATGGCAGAAGGGTCTCTTTGATGTCCCAGCCTTGGATGGCGTTGCTCTATATTCCAGGTGATATGGATTTGTGTCGCTGTGGAGGCACCCTGATATCGGAAAGTATGTATTTCTAGTAGAATTTTATATAATTTCTTTTAATTTTTACCTAATTTTAATAGGATTTGTGTTGACTGCTGCTCACTGCATTAAACTGTGTCGCAATCCAAGCGCGTAAGTAAAGTTTTGTGCTTGCATTAATATTTCTTTAAAGAATTAATTAAATTAATTCTGGAGCAGATTAAAAGTTCGATTGGGTGAGCACAATATAACTTCCACTGAAGACTGCACTTCGGTGGATCAAAAACAGCTGTGTGCTCCGCCTGTGGAGGACTTTGATATCGAAAAGACTGTAATTCATGAAAGATTTTCACCTTTCTATCATGGTAATGACATTGCTCTGCTAAGATTGAGCCAAAGGGTTGTCTTTAAAGGTTAGTTAAGTTAGGAATTAAATCAATATGATAAAAAGGATTCTTTTTATTTTATGAATTATCCTTTTTTCAGACCACATCCGACCCATTTGTCTTCCTCTGACAGAGGAACTCCTGTCCTACTCTTCTCTTCTGGGGGCATCCTACTTGGCAATGGGCTGGGGACAAACCGAGGAGCTTCGCCTCTCTGATACCCTAATGGAGGTCTATATTAATACGGAACAGTGCTCTGCGGATACCCATGAATCATTTTTGTGTACCAATGGACATGTCCAGGACACATGCAGAGGTGACTCCGGTGGACCGTTGGCCTGGCAGAGTTGGTATTTTGACTCTGCAAACCGGCAAGTTCAATTTGGAATCACCAGCTGGGGCAGCTGGACCTGTGGGCATGGTCTTAAGGCATACTACACTAATGTGGCCATGTATATGTCCTGGATAATTGAAAAGCTTGCCGAGTTTCCCAACTTGTAAATGGGTGTGAAGAGAATAGATTTGCTTGAGACTCTCTAATATATACTTAATATTATTTTAACAAATAATATTATGGTTTCAGTTTATTAAATAATCTAAGCATAGCTCCTGTTTGGACTTGTCTTTGTCACAGGATCAACTGTACCCCGGTTGTGATTCTAATTCTCGTTGTGGCTTCTCCACAATTTGGAATGGGAAAAAGGGTCACGCTCTTCCCTCTAATAAAATTGTCTTGTGATCGAAAACCCCAAGGTAACCGGCAATCTACCTGCCTTACCTACCAGTCAGGGCTACTCGTGTCCCCTTCTCCTTTTTCCAACCTGTTTTGTGGATGATTTGGGTAAGGATTTCGGTTATTTCAGACTTCGTTGAACGATCACCGCCGGTGATTGCATCGCTGTTTTATAGCATTTCTCACCCGATGCAGTCATAAATGCGTTTTTTTATTATTATTTGACTTTGGTCGGGGAGTCGGTGAGACGGTTCCCCTGGGTCCATTATGCTTGGAATATGTATCCAAAATAAGACTGAGGTTTTCCTCCAAGTTCGTTTTTGGGGGTAGGTTTGCCAGCAGATAGGAAAACCAAATACCAACAGCAACTATGAGATACATCTCTAAGTGATCTGCCCTGCTTCCCTGACCTAAGATACGTTGAGATTTGACAACTTCTTGACTCCAAAGCGTCTGTTTGTTTATCTTTCTTTGGGTTTGCTGTCCTCAAATGGTTTTCCATAAATATTTATAATTTTCTTAGACTGATAAAACGAGTTCCTCGCATCACGCTGGGCCAACGTATTTTCCGAAACACGTTTTCCACGCGTTTACCAGGAACAGAGGAACCTTTTCACACAACCTTCTATCCCGTGTGTGTTTGTTCTCCAAGACTACTGACTGTTCCAATAAAGTTGAGTTGTCATGCTATAGTCAGGACAAGTGGCTATCCTTTGATTGATGATTCGAATGGAAAGTAGCACAGTAGCTGCAGGATCAGCACAGGATTAGCTTCAACGGTAGCCAGCCTAAATATTTGCATACTTGCCCCGAGTATTTGCATTCCACTTTTAAAGAAATCCATCAATAACATCTCGATCTGACCGCAATTTGTCCGAGCTAAAGATAGGAGATAAGTAAAAGTCATTTATAAATGTCCTGGACTGAGATTTTGTTATATTAATGATTGGTCATTTGCCAGGGAAAAATGCTGTATAACACTTGGAGTAGAAGGATCGCCTGGCCTGTTTCTGTTTTGATAGGGATCACCGTGATTACGGTTGGTTTGTAAGATATATATTTATAAATGGGTTTCCTGCTTGGGGATCTCATTTGATGGTCAGAAATAAGGGGTATGGCCTGGCAAGAGATATTAATGTAATTAATTAATCTGGATTTCAGTTCAGTATAATTTTCTATAAATTAAAAATCGATTACCAGGATCATAAACCTTATAAAAGTCAGAACTAGTTATAGGGTTACTTTTGTAATAGGAGTTTTTCTTATATGTTAAGATTACTTTAATTACTTTTAATTTTTTCTGATCCCTAAACTTATATTCGAATATTGTTCATTATTCTTAAGTGAAGACCACCCACTTTAAGTTCGGTTTGAACCCTTAAAATATTCTTAAAAGTAACACACCTGCCTAGCAAAATTTTTCAAAATTGCGGTCACAGTTCCGTGAGCTGAACAGTTTTTATGGTAATTTCTTTACGGAATTGAGAATTTTGAAATACTATATCTTATACGGCAATTTGGTCATGCTCGCTGAACATTTGCACCCCCACCCGGAACACGTGGCATATCGGAGCTTAGTTCTTGGTTCCTACAGTTTCTATATGGTTCCTATATTGTTCCTGTGGTGTTCCCGAGATATAGAGTGGGATATCTTGGGCCTCCTTTTGGGGTGGGAATATAGGCTGTGTGCTGAGGCGATAAGGCACATTGCATTCCAAATGAGTGTAACGTATATTTTATACAAGACCAGAGATAGATAGTGTTTTACAGACCGCGACCTTCGAAACACTGATGATGTTTGTTCAAGGCCTTATCGGCTTAGTGTGGGATATTGTTAAGTGCATATTAGATAAATAATATAAAGATAAGATCCACTTTCAACCATTATTAATAGATCCAATCAACTGAATACCTTGAGTATATCATCTAATACCCGCACGCTCCATGACAATCCCTTAAGATCGCTGCCCTTATAAACGGGGACACTTGAGAACTGCTTCTCTGAAGTGTTTTCCACCTCTTTGGTACGCCTCCTTTCCGCGTGTTGACACAACCCATATAAACCAGGATATCCTGCTTGGGAGGAAATTACTTAAAGGGATCACGAACCCTTTCCCCCTTTCGGAATAACTCCTTTTCTTGAGTTGTTTATGTTTTCAGGCATGACTGCAGCCAACGAAACGCCAGCAGAATTCTCAAATTTGTTAAAAAGTGTGTAAATTCACGTCGCTTTTCCTGGAGGGTGTGTCCCATAAACAGAAAACCGAACCACAAGGGATCGGAGCGAAGCGCCTCGGATGGGATCTATAGATGATGCTGCCTAATCGAACGACGATCGCCTGCCTTTTTTTGGGGTGACTGCACTCGGTTTTTTTTTTCTTTTTTTTCCTTGGTTTTTGTGCGGAAAAGCCAAGAGGTTTTCCCATTATTTCGTCGAGTGCAAAGGGACAAAGCAAATGATGTCTTTAGTCTCTGAAATCTGACTTCCAAGGTTTTGTTCCTTTTCTTTTCTTTTGGCTTTAATTGGATTTGTGCAAACAATATAAATCTCGTTTTATTGCTTCTGGTAGTGTAATTTAATTTTTTACGATTTTGCACACAAATAGCAGAGTGGGAAATTTGGGAAAATGCAGCATGAAATGGCTAAAAAAACTTTGGATATAAAAATGTGAGGCATAACGGAAATTTTAAAACTATCATCGCCATGGCAACTCTATGAGGAAATTCGAATAGAAGATCGCTTTCTGAACCAATGCCCCACATTGCCAGCGATTTTCCCCATGGCAACGGGAGGAAAGTGAAAAGAAACCGTGCCCCAAATCTCATTCTGCCACGCCCCTTCGAACAGCGAGAAATCCAGTTTGAAACCAAACAAACCGAAGCCAAAACATTTTTTTTATATTATCAACTCATCGCGTTCAAAAGTACAGCTCCACCAATGCAGCAACAACAAACAGTAGAACACGAGGACGGAAAAGGAGAAAGAGAGAGATTGATAGGGAATGAGCCAAGGAGTGGTGGTGGGGTTTTGGATTGAGCCGACCTTTTGATGCACTTATGTATATTAACGAGCTTTCTATAAAAACCTTGACAAAGATAGTTTTAATAAAATGTATGTTATATGCAGAACTTTTAGGATAAGTAAAGTTTAGGATAAGTAAAGTAAAGTTTGCAATGCATTATCCTTGAGCATCGAATTCCCTTAATATCTATTAATCTTTATAAAAACTCTACATGTTTATAACTATACGTATCCCGGGAAGTGCATTGCCCTTTCGTTATGTTCATCTCGTAGGAAAAAAAAGAGCAGTTCCTCCATCTCTTTTACTCCCCCTGCCGTTCCCCATCGTGGTGGTGCTTCTTCCTTTCCTCTCCGATCGTTTTTTGAATTCGAGGGTTGCTGCACAGAGAGCGCGAACGGCTCTCTGCCATGAGCTGGCAACGTCCAACGAACGGCTCTCCCTCGAGCTGGCAACGTCGCGGTGGTTGTTTGACATTTGCTTTTGATCGTCTCTTCGCTGGCTGTTTATTCTTTCGTTATTATTCGTTTCTCAGAGTTCGTCCAGAGAGGTTCGCCCCGATCGATAGCACTGTTACCCATAACCCAGCGCGCAGTGCGCTAAACACAAAATATTAAAACAAACGCAGTTACTACAACGCCTTAAAGTTGTACAAACAAATAATAATATACCACAAATAGTGCAGCCAGAGAAGTGCTCGCTCAGAAGAGACACTACGTCACTCGTAACCATAGTTTTGTGAGTGCAGTGATACTGTCTGTGCAAACGATTAAAGAACCGAAATCAAGTGCAAAGAAAACAAATACTTTTGTTTATAATTATTTCATAAACAATTGCTGTGTGAAATTTCACTTTTAAATTCGGAAAACGCAAAAGAGGCTGCCCACACACAAAACACACACAAACGCAGTCTCGCTCTCCCACTGACACGCACACAAGCACACTCGCGTGGAGGCCGTGATTCCGTCGTTGGAGACTCTCACTCTCGCGCTCTCCCACTCTTTGGGGCAGCGAGAAAACAAACTTTTGGCGCCAAAACTTTGACAGTTCGCTTTGGCGTGCGATTCGCAAACAAGTGGCCAAAAAGCGCAGGCGAGAAAACTGCGTCTCAAAACAGAGAGTGCAAAACGAATACAGTCACCATGGTCAGTGCACGCGTTTTGAACCCAGTGATGCTGAGCGAGTTCTGCAAGATGAGCAGCAGTCCGGCGGTGAGCCGTAACCTTCCATGCGGCCGGCAGTTGAATCGCATTAAACGCGACCTCTTCGGCAGCTCCAAGTCCACGGAGGGCCAAACCAACAAAACGTGAGTTTCCCTGCACCATACTGAGTTGTTACCGAATCCTAAACCCTAATCTCTGTTGCAGGCCCTTCAATGCCGAACTGGAGCGCCACCAAGAGTTGGCCACACAAAAGTGGGGCTTTGATTTCCGCGCCGGCTGCCCTTTGACCGAGAAATCCTCCTTCATTTGGGAGCGCGTCAGCTTCCAGGAGTCCAGCTTTGCGCCGGAGATGTATACACTCACACGTGCCGCCCACGTCCGTCCCGAGAGCAACCCCAGCGACATGGACGTGCGGATGAACGAGCGTTCCGAGCGGGAGAACTTTGGCACCCATCTGGCCAACTCCTCGCTGGAGTCCAATACGGACAACGATTCCTGCTACGACTCACAGGATGAGTCGCTCGTGTCGCGATTCACCTCCAGCCTAAGCAGTAGTGTGGCCAGCAGCAGCACGTCCTCGATAGTCCTGCGCAAGCGGCAGCCAAAAATCACAGGTGAGTTTCGCCCCGGGGGTTGCTTATACATTTAAATACAGGGCTTGATCAGCAGAGCTTGACGGTTCCCAGGGTCAGGCTTGATTGCACTCCTCCGATAGCCGTTATAAATTCGATTCCCATACACTTTGTTACTATTCGCGATCCAGTTTTGTTTATTTCCGGTTCTCAAGAAGTTTATTTTAGTGAGGGAGTGCCAGTCGGTGGTTTAACTACAAATTGTAGGAGTGTTATTTGGTTAAGGGATTTAATTTATAGTTCTCAAGCTAAGAAAGTCGATTAAATTTCCAGTTTTACTCTCGAATGGTGTGCTAGATTAAAAATATGTTGTAAAACCTTACCGCAATAATACTATATTATAGGAATATCGGCAGCAAATTGGTTTCCCGTATTGTAGGAACTCCCTATTTCCATTAAATGGACAAAGACTTTTAGTTGAGGGCGTTGCTTCGTGGAACTCAAACCCAAATTACAGCAATTAGCGAATGCTTTGTGGGAGATTTATTTTCCTTTTAAAAGGGTTGTGAACTCCAAAGCTGAGTGCAGCTGTGTTTTAGAGACTCTTATGATCTGATCCTGAGCTAGGCGGGGGTTGAATTCCATTTTAGATCGATCGCATGCGGGTTAGCTGGGCTGCATCTATAAATGCCAACAGCTGTGACTCCGCTTTGTCTATGGTCTGACCTCATTACGAGCAGCGAGTGATGGAGAGAGAGAGGGGTCTGGGGATCGGCTTTCAATGCACCACCATCCAGTGTCCGTGGCCTTATCAAACCTCCCTTTGATTGCATTGTACTCCGCTGTTTTTTCGGTATATATATATGTACGTATGCCAGTCGCACATACTGCATGTGTAATTATAATCATAAAAAGTGTCTGTTAGGGGCATTATAAATGCACCCGCATCGGGTGTCCAGTTGGGAGAAGAAGCCCTTAAAGCCACGACTTTTACTGTAGCTTGGATGTACTTTTTTGCTACTTTGGCCAGCTAAGCTAGAGAGCTTGTAATTTATGCAGCTATGCACCACCACCACTTTTGCTTTCACTTGGCTACCTGGGCAGAGAGGGAAAAAAAGCAAACTAAATAAACCGGCTGAAGACCGACTGTCTGGCTGCCGTCTGGCATTTATTTGCTACCCCTGAATGGACCCTCCTCTGCAGCAACCCTCTTCAGGGAACTGCTGCCGGCCACGTGCCACAATCTGGGAAATCTACCCGAGACCGAAATCAAAATGTGCAAAAACAGGCGGCGCCTGCTGTTTCTTTGGGATCAATGACATGGGAACAGAACAGAACAGAACAGGCCGGAAGAGGAAGTGCAGCAGCTGACTTTTTGATTTACCAATAACATGTAATGTAATTAATACCAATCTCTTCTTTGATTTCCCTTTGCAGAATTCATGAAGGAGCGTAAGCGTCTGGCCCAGGCTCCTAAGAAATTGTCGTCGCCCGCAAAACGCCTGCGCACCAGCTCACCCACCACGTCGGGCTCCAGTTCGAGCGGCAGCGCAGGATTCGGCCTGGGAGCGCATTTCGGGGCGATGCTAAAGCGTCCGCGTCACAATTGAAAAGCGGCGTGTCAAACGAATTGCAATTTGTAATTTTATTTGATTTTTTATAAGCCACTGCGATCGTGTAGTATTTCCTAATTTTTTTAATTACGAACCTTTTTTTATAATGCAGTGCAAGGGCGACAGTTGCGAATATTAATCGTTAGTCTTCAACTACTCGTAAACCAGTAATTAGTTGTAAGCCAGCAGCACCACCAGTAAGCTCGAGCTAAATGAAACTTTTTAGATTTCTCTAGTGAGAAATGCCATAAACTAAGTGATTAGTTCTTAACAACAACAACAACAAACAAACAACAACACTAACAACCACAACCAACTATTGAACTAGAAAAGAGGGAGAGACCGCAAGCAAAATGGAATTAGTCTTAACTATCTTGAAGCCAACCGAAATGTAACCTTTATAACGATGAAATACTTTACTCTAACTTTACATAACTTTGTTAAATCCCAGCGAAATTTCACGCAGTAACTTTTGCTTGTGAATTTTGTTGCCTGGATAGAACAACAAAACTCATCCCTGCTCTGCTTTGGGACTTTAACCAGAGCTCAGAGTAGAGTAGAATTGAATTTTGTCTTGCATTTTGGACGGGCGCTAAAGCGAGGCTCCAATGACAGCTGTGTATTTTTGCAGCTCATTGCCGCCTTGCTTTTGCCACCTGAAACTAACATACATTGTCCTTAATTTCGACCAGTGGATGAAACCGAATTATTTTGAATTGGTTTTGTGTCAATTTCTGCACTTTTGAACGTCATTTATATATATATATATATTTATTTATGTATGCCGCCAAATGAACACGAATTGTCGCGCTCTCATTTCCTAACAAAATGGGGTAAAAATGTCTTTTATGATTTGCTACGATCGATCTCTGGGCAAATTATGAAAACAATTTTGCCTAAAAACTATTATGTACAAATACTAGATTACTATATATAATTATACACATAGGCAGAGCCTATATATCCCTTTATAACACTTATACAAAGCATCTAATTTGTAAGGCCTAACTAAGAACAAAATCCAAAGTATTCTCCTAATATTTATATTTATAGAGATATTCTATGTATAATTAAGTCATATACACACACACACACAACTCATACACACACTTCAATAAACAAAACAAAACGAAAAACAAAAAAACAGAAAAACGAAACACAAAAGCGCACTGTTCTCCATATTACAAAAAAACTACGAAACATAACTTAAATCGCTGCATAAAGTCATTTAAATGATTGTTTGTTATTGATTATTGATTATAATTTCTACCCATTGCTTTGGTTGTAGCTGTAGACGTAAACTGTAGTTAATTAATTAACAAATTTTGTACATTTTATAAGTTGATATTTGTTTACTTGCAATAAATTGTTTGATTTTTTAGTTGGTAGTAATTAAAGTGTACTTTTTATTAAAAAAAAAAAACAAAATCAGGCGTAATAATAAACCCATTATATTACTTTTCAGTTGATTTAAATAATTTATTTTCATTTATTCTGATTTATTTCTTACATCAAGTACATAAATATTAATTTGTTTCCATTGCAACGCTGAAGTTTTACCTAAGTTTCATTAACTATATATGAGCACCCGCTTTAATTGATCTGTCCTATACATACAAAAATATATATCGAATAAATATATATACAGTGGACTCTCCTATTGCTTCCCCGTCGCCTTCTCCTCCAGCTGGGCCTGGATATGCCGCACGTTCTGTCCATTGTGATTGTGGCGCTGGAAGAACGCATTTATGGAGCTCATGGAGCGGTACTCCAGATTGTCACTGACATGCCAGTCCACGCTGATACTCTGGTGACGCCCCACAGGATTCCGGATCCGGGTCTCATTGTACTTCTCCAGCAGATGCAGCAGGCAATCCTTGGTGGTGTTGGCTGCCTCCTCCAGGTTGACGGTCTGGTGGGTGTCCGGCAGGCCAACAGGCACGTCGCGACTCATTTGATTTATCCGGAATTTGGCACGACGACTGCTGGCTGATTCGCTGAGAGCTTGGTTGCTAGAGCTGGAGGAGATTTGGTTGCTGGCACTGGACATTTGTTGACTAGAGGTTGTGCTGTTGCTGGTGCTGGTGCTGCTGCTGCTGCTGGAGATGACCTTTGTTGAGGTGGTACTGGTTCTTTGTACATGCTGGCTGGTAATGCTTCTGGCATTGGAGCTGGTCATAGTTTGCACGCTGCTGGTTTTGCTGCGCTGCGATTGCAACTGGGATTTGGTGCTGGTGGAGCTGGTACCATTACTCAGCTTGGGCGTTTCCTCGATGGACTGCTGCAGTCTCACAGACAAAGAACTAATCTTGGTCTTGCCCTGACCATCGTCATAGCTGCTCTGACTTTGGGTACTACTGCTGGCCTGCTTGAGTAGTCCTCCCGTGGAAGTGGGACGATTCCAGCTGCTGCTAGTGGTTGACTTACTGGTCCACCTATTGCCATCTTTGCTGATCTCGGAGGTTTTACTAGAGCTGCTGCCAGAAGGAGCCGGCGTTGGAGCTGGAGCAGATGGAGTAGCTGGAGTAGCTGGAGCTGCTGGAGTAGCCTCACTACTCTTATTATTATTATTGCTATCCCCCAGCTTGGTATTGATTTCGGCCAGCATGAGGAGATGATCGGAGAGCTTCCTTATCTCATCCGCCAGATTCACACGTTCCCCAGAGCTGCGACGACCCAGCAGGTACGTGGTATCCGAGTTCCTCCGGTCAAAGGTGTGCAGATAGCTCTTCATACTGCGCTGCTGCTGGGCGGTGGATTGGCTGCCAGAGAACTCATCAAAGTTCTCATTGAACAGATGCTGCGGTGTGGGCGTGGCAGGATTGGAGGTAGCCACCATTGGAAATAGCTTCTCCCTGGACTCATTAATGGGCGTGGAAACCGAATGGGGACTCTCGTTGTCAGCACTGCGCAACTCATCCTCCTCCGGCAGATCCGCATCCTCGGCCAGCTCGTCGTCGGTCAAAGTGGCAATCGATTCGCAGGGCGAGGGAGAACAAACTGGAAAGGTTGAAGTCTCTTAGAAGGATATTTATTTATTTATTATTCGGTTATTTTACATAAAAGTTGTTGGGTTATTAGGAGACCGGGTGGTTTATATTGCCAAAGGTATTTTACAGACAGATTATTGTACATGAAATGGTGTTAAAGACAAAGAAAGATCATGCTGAGCTAAGAGAGTTGTGTAAAATGGCTCTCATTAAAGTCTAAGTCTACAAGTGCTATTAAAGGATTTAGTGAGCGATTTTCTACAGGAATTATTTTAAATTAAGCAAACACAAATCTTAAATAGAGTTATATTCCCTTACTTTTCAGGTTTTTCCTAACATTATCACTTTACACAGCTCTCTGGGGTACAAGTCTTGGGTTTAATATTAGCATTCATATATAGAGATTCTCCCTAAACGGACACATAACAAATGAGCATGAGACTGACTTTGGAATTCGACTGCGATCTCTGAGGATGATGGATATTTGGAGCTGGATTTTGGGCTTACCTGGCTGAAAGACCAGAAACTGTGGCTACAAGTGTGTGTCAATCTAGACCAGAACTTTGGGAGTGAGGGATTTGGGGAATTTTAAGGGAATCATGTGGGATTCATGAGGGAATCATGGGTTTCGGGACTAGGAAAAGTTCGGAATGGTTTAAGTTTCGTAGGGGAGTTCGGTTTCTCATCTCGAAGTAACTACAGAGAGTTTGCATTATATTTTGAATATTGTATTGTATTTGAATCAGTGTTGTTGTTGATTTGTCAATGGCTGTCATTATCACAGTGTCAAAGTGGTTAATAGAGCCGGGCATCCGCTACAAGGATACGCCGGCACATTGCTTAGGGCTACGGTTACTTAAACATAAACAACAGTTCTTGCTGGCTAGCTGCTCCTCCTCCCTCTCCCGGAAGTGTAGGATATTGATATATATTAACTTTATCGAAGAGAATGGGGTAGTTAACACAGAGACAGAGATAGCTGAGAGATAGAGAGAGAGAGAGAGATGTGGAGAGGGGGCTGGCCAGCTTGGTCCACATTCAAGTTAAGAACAACAATTAGTTTGACAAGTTAATCGTGTAATATACAATGTTGATCCGGTGGCAGGATGCAGTTGGAGATGCAGATGCCTCACTTGCCGTGGATGAGGGCATGTCGGTCACGCTGTCGCTGGGATCCGTACTCACCTCGGGACGAGGAGATGCTGTCCGGTCCATGGGTTCTCCGCGGATGCGGGTAACTTGTCTCGTTCAGCGGCGCAATCACATTGCCCTCCACATCGAACACGTACGGACTATTTGGATGCGTTTCCCAGCGGACAATGAAGTTCTTTAGGTTGTCCTTTGTGGCATCCAGTTCTTTATTCTGCAAATGGGATAGCGATGTGAATTACAGATAGGTACATTAGGATGAGTATAGGTTGTTCATGGATCTTACAGAAATTCATAAGGATTGGAAATAAATTAGGGTACGAAAGTATGCCTTAAATTGTTCATTGCTTACTTAACTCTTTAAATTAATGTCTTATAAAAAAAACCTATTTAAAGAGTCTAATACTTTATAATAAGACCCTAAGGCTTTTTTCAAATACTGTTGACATCTATTGAAGCTTATGTCTAGGTACTAGGATCCTGGGACTCCCCCATCACCTGACTGGTTGTTACACTTTTTGCTCCAATTACTCACCTCCAGGTCGGCGGCACTGCAGAGCTTGGCCAGCTCCTCCTCATCCTGCCCATCATCCTGGCTCTTTTTCTTGTCCGCCGTCAGCACCTCCTGCTGCTCCTCCGCCTCCTCATCGTTGTCACCGTCCTCGATGGTTTCCGTGGAGGATTCCTCTGAGGATTCCGAGGGAGCTGTCACCGGAGACTCTGACTTCAGGCGCGACTTGGACGCCATAGAGGCGGCCTTTGTGATGGGCGTGGCAGAGGCAGCGGCAGCCGGCCGCTGTTGTAGCCATTTGTGTTTCATGCACTCGGCGGCTGTCATGCGAGTGCTGCGTGGAAAGAGTCAGGGAATCGGGTTTAGAATGTGGCTCTAATTAGGGGGGGAGGAATACCGGGAATACCCACCTCAGGTCCTTGGCCAGCAGCTTGGCTATGAAATCCAGACACTCCGGGGAGATGCCATTAAAGCATTCGTCCTCAAAGTCGTATTTCGCAATGGTTACATTTGACATTGTTTCAATGTCGTTCTCGCCCATGAAAGGCGACAGTCCTGAGATGCTGTTCCAAGTCCCAACCAGGATATACAACCGAATCGTATCATATATGTGGGTTGTGTGTGTGTTTTGCGGTGTGAGTTCCGGGGGTGTGGCAGTCAATAAACATGAAATGTAAAGGCAGCATAAGTAAAATAAATAAAAACACAAACCAACACTTAATTAACTAAATTAAATTGGCTCACACTCCTTTTTGCAGGATAAGGGAAACGGAAACGGAAGCGGAGGATAAGAAGGAGATACCTTCGGAGTCTTGAACCCCTCTCTTGATTATTTCATTTTTAGCTATACACATTTTTAATTGGTTTTCTTGCAAGTACCAACCCTTAAGATATGAGTGCTCCAGGTCTTGATTAAATTTCTAATTGCTCTGGTGTTAGAGAACAAATTGTTCGAAAATATTGTCGAAGCTTAAGTCTTGGGTTTTATTTTGGTTATAAATTGTGGGGATATATTTGTGGATTTTAGAATAAGATATGTCAATTATATATTCAAAGATATTTGCTGGGATTTAGGTAAGAGCATTTTGACACTGGACGTTATGAGACTGAAGGGAACTAACTTGGAAGTTATGGTACTGAAAGTCAGTACACTGTATGATACTGAACATAATGAAAATAATTCTTAGACAGGGCCAAATAACACTGATACTAAGTCTCCCAACCATTTATATTTCTATATTATAATTGGTACTTCTTAAAAACCCTAGAATACTTACAGCACGTAACATATCACACCTACACTCCACATATCGGTGCCATACGATATACAGTCAAAGTTCACAACTTCTGGAGCCACAAACTCGGGTGTGCCAAAGAGTACCTAAAGAATATATATATTTAATATTAGTTTGACATAATTTTCATCACAGTCTCACTTACCCGAAGACGCTTATCGGGATCAAATTTGCGGGCCAGTCCAAAGTCTATGATCTTAATGCGATTACCCTTCTGTGTGAGCACCAGTATATTTTCGGGCTTAAGATCCAGATGGACTATGCCATTGCCGTGTATAAAGGCCATGGCTTCGCACACCTGGCGGATGAAGACCCGGCAGACCCTCTCGGTAAGGACAAACTCATCGTCCACCACGCGATCGAATAGCTCGCCGCCTTCAATGCTGTGAAAGGACAATTAAATAATACTTTTAAATATACAAATTCAAAGCACAATTACTTTAAAAGAACACCAAACAAGAAAGAACAATCAAAACAAACATTGCAAGCCAAGCACCAAGAAGCAGAGTTATAGCCTTTCAATTAGTCTCTCCTCATCCACCTCATCCTCGTTAACCAGATTTAGATCGATTTAGATTTTTGGTTTTATAGTTACCTTACCTGACCCTAAGCTAAGTTATGTTATTTACAAGAGTATCGATTGCTCAGCCAGAACACGAAAATCAGATAATCCATGAACATCAATCCATCCGCACGGGTGACGGGCATCAACTAACTGCATGCCGACATGGACTCGGAGGGAATTATGTTCAGACACTCGACAAATGTCAACCGAGATTTGCTTCGAAATCCAAAATGTCGAGTGTTGCATGTTGATGAAAACACAAAACAAAAGTCCTGTCATCATCCATCGGATGCTCATGATAAATGTCGGGATACAACAAAAAAATGAGAGCAAAACCTGTTGTCTGTATAAGTTTTTTCTCTGATTTTTTTGCTTTTGTTTTTAGTTTCAGTAGTTAGTTAGTTGATGCACTTCACCCCCAAATAGACTAAATTAAAATTTCATGTGAAACCCTGGGTATTTCATGGGTGAAATAGAATATTTTTTATGCCAGTTTATGGATGCCTGTCGATTCCTATAACACTCTTGGCTCTGTCATTTAAAAATGCTCTGTGTTAAGAGTTTATTTAATATAATGCTGGATGCTAAAAAAACCTATGGGATTTTGACAATAGGAATAAAAACACTCCAATAAGATTTACTGCAAAATATATAAAGTCTAATCTGAATTAAGTTTGTTCAAAGGTCATTGCCATAAAACTCGGACTCACACAAATTAGTTTCCTGAAATTTGACATCTAATAGGAACTCATTTTAATAAAAAGGATACACCAAAAGGATACTATTTTCCACTCCAGTTGATGATTTTATAACTTTAATGCTCAAATGTAACTGGATTTAAAGGGCATTTCATTAAATTCTGATCGAAACGTATATCCTTTCAATTAACAAAATCCATTGAGGCTTTTATCCCAATGATTTTCATTTTCCATGGCTGTTGCCAAGAGCATTTGCCAATTTGTTTAAATATTTATAGTGAAATGACGATGATGCCATTTGGAATTCGGTTAAAATACTCGCACTTTGTTTGAGTTTTGGGGTATTTTTGTTTACTCTCCACCCTTTAGGAGCTTTTCCCCGGACAGAAACTTAATAGTTGAACGGCACACCATGAATTTCCTTCACTGCCAGAGGACTGGTTAAGCCATTTTCCTTGCAAGCCCTGGAATTTTCTCTCTCCCCTTCGTTGTGGAAATATTCCGGCTCTAGTTGAACATTCTGTTATGAATATGATGCCAAGGAGAGAACTATGCAAGTGAACAATTAACTTTTCTTGTGGGCGAAAAGTGACAAGAACAACAGCAACACAACTTGGCACAAGTGCAGTTGTGCTTTGTGTTTGTTTTGTGGAAAATTAATTTAAGTTGACAAAGACTGCTTTGTCTATGGAAATGAAATTGTTTTCACATCGTGTTCTTTCTTTTCTTCTTTTACATATTTTCCCCAAAATGGGCGGCGAATGTGGGTCAAGGCCGTTGACTAATCAGTGGGGACGAAGCACCTGCCTCAAATGTTTTTATGGGCCATTAGGCCCTTAACCCATGTCAGCATTCATTTATGGACAAAAGGAGCCTGGGCGCAAACTTTCGCGATGGCGAATAAAAGTTGTTATAAATTTGTATAAATGCCAAAGGAGACAACCTGTTGCTTAAGGCTTTTCCTTCGCATATCCTTTGTAGCTGTGTCTGTGTTGGTCTGGGTGTATGTGTGTGTGCTTGGGGCAAAAAGTTTACTAGTTTACGATAATGTGCGTACGTGTAAATCGCATTTTATGCACATTCCCACTGATTGCAAGATATTGTGTCCCCAGCAACAATGTGATAACAAAGAACAACAAGAAAAGAAAAAAAAAACAGGGGACAACAAACTTAACGAATAGTGAAAATAGTGGGCTAAAAATATAAACATTAGGGCAATTCGAATTTTATGATTAGAAATTGACAAGAAAATGGTTTAGTTTAGCTTTTCAGAGAGTTGTAGTTTGATTTTTTTATCGAAATATTCACTCCAAATTAATTTCTTTGAGAAAAATCTAAAGCCGAAACTGGTATTGAAATATACTACAAACTAAATTAAATTGTTAGGAAATATTATATATAAAGCACTCAAAATTAATTGTTACTCCCATTACTATTATAATTATCAAAGGCAAAGTGAGAACTGTTGCTAATTATAATGCAAACCCGGTTACAAGTTGTTGAAAGTCATTCTATAAGGACGATACTACAGATTTATACTCAGAATGTATGCTTTTTATATTTTTAAAGAGTAAAAATCATAACCTTGACTAGCTTTAATTCTGAACAATTAGTTTTCATATTCTTATTACCAATAATTTTTCAAAGAATTCTTATTTTTAGTCACCATTTCCTACCCAATCTCTGTTCATTCAATTCGATTCACCCTAATAAACTTTTTGAATATATATAGACAGCTATAGAGAGAAAGAAAGGGGGAGTTACACCCAAGGGACATGGACAAACAAAGTCAACACACATTCATTTTGTATGGGCTTTTGGGGCTATTGGGATGTCTTCCTTACAGTTCCAGGACGACGCACATCATTTTCTGATATTCGTATGCCGCGTACAATTGTATAATGAGGTGATGCTGCAATGAATTCATAATCTCCACCTCCCGCTCCACATTCCGTTTGTCCTCCCGCTTGGGAATGGGCACAAACTTGGCCGCCAGCTGAAGGCCATTTGCCTTGTCCTTGCACTTGTACACTGTTCCGAATTTGCCGCTGGAAGGGGGATTAAAATCGATTAGTTATGGAATGGTTAAAGGTGTGTATAAGTCCAGGATCTGCAAGGAATAATACTCACCGTCCCACCTCGCCGAGAACATCGTATAGTTTATGAGCATCGACATTGCGATTTATGGTGACATCGCGCATAGGAAACGCCGGTTCCAGAACTATAAAATAAAGAATATATATATAGAATTAACTAAGCATCAACATATCACATATTAATTTGCAATAAATCCATTCAAAATATTGCTCCTGTGGCCACTCAACAAGGTAATCATTTCCCTTCTCAACTGGAAACCATAAATTGACAAGTCATAGATGGGTTTTCGGTCTGATTAAGCTCTCCACTGATTGATTTGATTAGATTTCCTGTTTCCTGAGCTTAACAAAAAAAAAATATACAAAGAAAAAAAGTAAATCTAGGACTGGTCTGCCTGAGGCTATACTTTGCCACATGGTTGCAATATGGCAATTCAATCATTTCCATTGTCCTGGCCAGAGTCCCACTTCGGAGTGCATTTAATATCGGCTATTATAGGACCCAATGCAAGTCCTTCACTCACTGACTGACTGCTCAACAACAGTTTGTGCCTGTCACAACACACACGCACATACACACACATGGATATTTTGCAGGACATATTGCTGACAAGTTTTGAGGGGGAAACCCTTTTCACAGAATTTGATTCGTTCGCTGCTCTCGTTTCGCCGTTGTGTATGTCTACAAGTTGCCAAACAAATAAAAATGACTTGATTCAATTGAATTTGTGCAGGATCTGAAATGGGGACAACAACAGTGACGACCAGTTGGGAAATATTGTGACAAATATGAGAATATAAGTATGGATATAAATTTGGTCCCGGTGCGGTCAGCAAGCTGTTTTGCAATTTTTTCATATATTTTTTTTCCCCCATTAAGGACAAGAGTTTCCATTTGACATTTTGACCACAATAATCCCTTGGAGATTTCTGGCAAAAGCCATGGTTACTATTGAATTTCAAAGATTCGAAATTATTGATAATCTGCTCAAGGTTTTGATGGTAAAAGTGCGTCAGTAAGTTAGTTTAACCCATTGGTGGGTTAAGAAACTGGGACAGTAGGAAGTTAGTGGATTTTTATAGATTCAACTAACACAAGAGGTTTTTGGAAAGGTTTATTTTAAGGAAAATAGATATTTTTAAAAGGTTTGTTTATATAGCGAATAAGTTGATTTCTTAATTAGTTTTTTTAATATAAATATATATTCTGTCTTAGTTGGGAGGTTTACTGAAGGAAAAGCTACAATTCAACTACCAAGTAACCTCTTTATTTATCGCAGTCTTGTTTCTAAAGATACTTCAACACATTATCACAACTCCTTGACAGAATTATTCCCTTCTTGTATCACCATTTAAGAGGTGTATTTAAGGGGTTAAGTTGTTAGCCAGCGCCTATGAATGCTGTCATCTACGTAGCAGCTGTCCCATTAATATGCAAATGGCGCACATAAGTATGCTATGGAAAACACGATAAATCTTTAAAATCAAAGGCGAAGCGAGAGAGAGAGAGAGAGAGAGATCCTTGCAAACGCAACGGCAAAGAGGACTTTTCAAAAACGACAAGAACGAACGAAAGGCAAGGGGGAGGGGTAGGGGAGAGGAGTGGGCCACAAACTTGGCAAATTCAAAGTGAAAGTTGAGCGTCTGCTGTGAATAGAAATGATAGAGACGACGAGTGTGTGTGTGTGTCTGGGAGTGTGTGTTTCTTTGCTATTTGTGTGCAGCGAGGCACTTGTATTCGCATGCATTTGCTGCGATTGCCGAGACTTGACGCCTCTCCTTTTGGCCAAGACCCCTCTCACCTCCCCTCCCTTTGTCCATATCTTGTTTAAACGGTTTTCGGCGCAAATTTATGCAGCAAGCCAGTGAGTGGGAGCGAGTGAGTGCATTTGAGTGCACTCTGCCAATAATGCGCACAATTTAAGTTCGGGCAAACATGTTCAAACACTTGCCTTATGTTTAGAAAAGAAAATTGGGGTGAAAATGTGGGTTTTCCATTGTATGTCAGCCATTTTGGGGGGTTAACTTTTGCCAACTTTTCAGCCTCATAACTCATAATTTCTAAGAATCTTATGTGAGATTGAAAGGGGACAACGCGATTCGGCTTAATAGCTCCTAAAATTGTCACAGAAGACAATCATTTTGTTCAGGTACATACTTATACCCTGATTTGAACTCATACACGGTAAATAATTATAGAACTTGATTGGAATATAATTGTACATATAAAACAATAAGTTACATTTTCAATAAAGAAATTAAAAAACAATGATGTTAAGCCATGTACATTTTTCTTTTATTGTCAAATATTTAGCGATTGATAAGACAAACTATGTCCCCATCTGTGGCAAGTTCCTTAACATTTCCTTAGTAAGTACATATAAGAAATTATCTTCCTTAATTTAATCTAGTTACAAATTTATATTCATTTTTCTTGGTGGAGACATATTCACAAATGGTAGTGAGTGGGGCGTCAGGTGGCCCCCATTCATTTCCTGGTTTGGAGCTCATGAATAAATGAATTTATATCGACTCTGTTCGGCATTTGCACTGCACCGTTTATACCCAAAGGACGATATAGGGACGCGGATCGTAGAGGGTTAAAGGGAAGGGCTGCCCATATGCTTCTGCGAGAAAGTGGGTGGTGGAGCGGTGGGGTCTGTGGTGCTGACGACCTCTCGTCTACCCAAATGCACCCACCAAATGCAATCGAAATTGGACTTGAGCCGTTTGAAGTGTTTTCGTAAATCAATTTCAGTTCCATTAAGCTACACGATGTGCATATAATACATGGATCGATGGGGTGAATAAAATCGGAATGCAGAAAAATATACTGAAGTATCCGTTGTAATCAAATTTCCATATTCATGAATTGATTTATTCTGTGAGGAGTAATGGTTCTTAAAGATTTAAAAGCAGAGTTGCAGAGACTTGTATAGACCAAAGGGATTAAGGTAATCATTACTTATAAATTTAATATAAATAGCACGATTTAAGCACTTTAATCAATATTTTCATTTATATTTAATAGGTTTCTAACACTTTAAAGTGCTTTAATCCCACTCTTGACATCTCTTTAAGTATCTATAAGTACAAGTATCTATAACTGATACTTATCAGAGCTTAACGCGTCTATATCTGCTGGCAGTTAAATGGCTTTCGTCTGAAGTTTGAATTCTGTGTCAGACAACCCTTATATCTATATTCCGAAGGACTTTTGAAGAGGTCTATAACCCACTCCCTCCGGGTCTGTTCAGCCCACTTGGTTTAGTGTGTGGGCCGCGTTCAAAAGTGCAACTCGTTGCAGATTCAATTCAAAAAACTTTATAAAGTTAATTTATGCACAATATCAATAAAATCAGATAGAATGTGAGAGTAAAAGAGTGGGAGATACTATATTTGCACTTCTCATTCAATAGAGTGCCACTGAAGGATATAGAGGGTGGAGGAAGCAGGAAGCTGCTGCTGATGCAAATGGCGAACGATTTTTTGTGCCAACGACGGCAATTTTTTCTGATATGAAAATCAGCAAATTTTTCTTTGATTCGCCTTCGCTCCGGTTGTCAAGTCTGCAAGGATATGCCGCCCCAGCTATTGCTCCTGTCCCTGCTCCTGTCCCTACTCCTGCTGCTGCTCATTTTGGCAACTGTTGCCAAGTTTGCCTTGACTTTCAGATTAAAAATAAAAGAAATGTGAACGAACCAAAATCCTCAGCGGAAGCGAAAAAATGTTTTCCCTAAACCCCTCCATCCATCCATCCATTGATTTAAGGCTGCAATTTGTTGCTGTCATAAAATTGTGTAATGTGCTTAATGAAATTTTGTTAATAACACAATTTAAGGGCTCGTGAGTTAAACAATATAAAGTGTGTACAACAAATGCAAACTGTTGCACATCAAACGAATATGTGGATGTCAATGTGCCACAAAACCGAGGAAAAACTGGGGGAAAAAAGCAGGGGAAAAACCACACGCCAGACGTCGGCATTTTAATGCGAACAGAAAATAACTGAAACAAAGTTATAAGCAAGCTCGAGAGTCGAGTCTCCTCTCCTCATTGTTTATATTCACTTTTAATAACACTTTTTATGCGACCAACTTAAGCGTCTTCGCCGGACGCAAAGCAATCCGTTGGAGAATGCCGAGCATTTAATGGCAAGGCCAGACGGGGAAATGCATACAAGTAATATAATTTACACATTTGTTTGTTTGTTTGGATATATGTTTGTTTGCTGAACGCATTTCGAGGAGCAGCTAGCACAGCGTTAAGCTATTTGTTTGTCGAGCTAAATCATATGCAAAAATGCGAAACAAAGGAAGATTTTAGTCTCAACTCTCTGAATTGGTTTACGTTTGGCTTTTGGAGATAACCAAATTGGGGGTTTCCCGCATTTGGGAAGTGTTTAATATAGTCTTTAGTGCTTGATTATGAGAGAAAATTAATCGAAAACAATATTTTCCTTTGTAATGGATACTAGACTAGGTGACCTAAACTATTTTATGTTAACATTATTGGAAAAAAATCTATATTTATATTTAAAATTTGTAGGTATAATTTCAACCATTTATTTTAAACTTTCTTTACACATATCTATTAATTAATATTCTCTAATGTTATTTTTACATAAAACAGAAATTCTTCTTTAATAAATATATTTCTCTTTAATTTCTTTAAAATGTTTTCCTGTTTTTTGACCATTCACAAAATTACTGCCGATGACGTTGCACCAACTAATGTTGAAAACTGTTGCCAATGTGCGCTTTCACAGTTGCCAGTGGATATTTTCCCCGGTTATTGTTGAAGCTGCGGGAATGTCTGTGCATTTTAATCAGCCTAAGTGCCTGGGAAATAGAAGGCATGAGAATGGGATAGCTCAAATGAAAGTGTGCGGTGGCAGTAGGATTAAAAAAAAAAGTGTGCAAAAGTTTGTCTCTACTAGGACACTGATGTGGTGACTGTGAATATGTGCCATTTCGAATTGGTTATTACACGGATCTTCCCACACACTCACTCCGCTCACAAAAGGACCTTCATCAAATGGTCATGCATAAATGCAGAGGAAAATGACAGAGGAAAGGAGAAGGACTTGAAGTATTCACACTTACTGATGTCCTGGCTAATGGGA